AATGGGTCATAGTGCCAGTGGAGAGATTCTGCCATTTTTCATGTATGTTTATTTCAATGATATATCAGGTACTCAGAAAATAATTGCAGGTTGGTTTCATGGCCCTATTCACCCACTGTAATTTAAACTTTGCTCAAGACAGCTTTGATCAACTGACCACCATTAGCCCTGACTTTCACTGGTAGGCCATAGTAATTAGTGTCAATTCAGAACCCATGTTTAGTAATCCCTGTGAAATATGGGTGTTTTCTTTTTCCTAGTACACAATCCTTCAAGTAAATGGCAAGAGGTTCCTTTGGGGAAGGCTTAAAGAATACTTGTAAGCATGTTATATGTGGCACTGCTTCAGGGTCCTTCCTCAGGGGGACCTGGCCTCTCCTTCAATCAAGAGACTTTGGATCTGGGAATCGTCTTCATACTGGAAGCTGGGTGACAGGCATGACTCTCCATGGTGATGAATTGAGTCAGTTTTTTGGCTACCAGGTCTCGAGTTTTTCCTATTACATATCTCAAGGAACATTTTAGTAGGCTGCCTATCTATTTCATTCTTAGGGAGAGTGTAGTCAATCATCAGTAGCCAAAAATCCCTTAATACTACTATCGCCCTGCTGTCTTTTATTGTAAATAGCTGTCTGGTAATTAAATGCTGCTACCTGGCCTCTGCTGCCCCGGAATTCCATTATTCCCACTGAAACCAGGGACCACGTCTGTGGTGATGGCATCTCTCACCATCACGTCTTGTTACATGAGCCACCACAGAGCTTTTCACATTTGCAGATGCTCCCTTGCTCAGTGCCTTCATAAAGGAAGTGGCTTTTGGGCCCAGAGCATGGCATTGGGAGGTGAGTGAGGAGGCCAGATGTGATCAATCCACCCCCACATTCCTATCTCCCTGAGCCTTTGGATATCTGCATCCACATCATGCCAGGGAAATTCTGGCATCTGTCTCATTAAATAGAGGCCAGCATGAGTCCACATCCTGTCAACCAACCAAGTAAACTGTAGAGCCACTTTCAATGGCAAGAGTGTGGCCGTTATCCATCATCTGTCAGCTCTGTGGTGATGGGCTGGGCTCTCGAGGCATTCATTTCTCCTTACAAGCATGATGCTGAGCTGTCAATAGAGGGTGCTGGAAGGACACTGCAGGTGAAACAGGCCTCTTCTTTGCTCCAATGTGTGGCTTTGCTTATTCTTGCTCTTGCTTCATGGGCCACCAGCAGCGTGTGTGCATGGGGACATCTAGTCGTGCCCTGCCTAACCACGCATCCAGTGTGCACAATTGCTTTATGACTTCACAGTCTTAGCCCAATAACCATGTCACTATAGTCTTCCCAATATGGACACTGGCTTGTTCCAGGTCTCATGCCAGCAGTACCACCCTGATGCACTCTGAGCACCTGCCTGCCAGCCTGTTTGCCTGTGCTGAGGGTGGTTTCCTGGGGCCCTCTGGAAATGGTCAGGCTGCACACCACCCTGACAAGCGGGGTCCTTATGCCCTGCCTTCCTGTGCACTTTTACCACTTTTACCCACCAGCCTTGGATTGCCTGTGCCCAGGAGGGTTGTTTCCTGCTGCCTGGGGACGTGGACTACCTGCGGCCTGGCCTGGCCAACTCTGAGACCCTCCCCCATAGCCAGTAGTCTGCAACCACACCTTTTCCGACCAGGTCTGAACCTAGGGAGGAGCCTCCCTTCTAAGTAAGGAAATTAAATAATAGCAATAATAGGAAAACAAAACCTTATAATTTGTAGTTGCTATATAATAAATTTTGCTGTGTCGTGTGCTGTTTAATACAATGCCTCCCAAGCTCTGTTTAAGGCAGAATAACTCCCTGCCTGCAAACCACTAAACCTTATCTATGCTCTCCACATTCTTAGCAAAGTTCCCAGGCATCTAAAAATTCCTGGTTTTCTTGCTAACCAGCTGCAAGGTCACAAAGCAAATAAACTCAAAACTGTGAAATGTGTTTCTCAAAATGTTACTTTTCAAACGTAAAGTACATCACATCATATGTCACAAGTTACTTGCTCTTTGTTCTGGTTTCTGTAAGCTTGCTTTCTGCTTCATCATTCTGTACCACGAAGGTGTATAAAAGGCACCCCATTTTCTTTGTCCTTTGCTCAAAATTAAAAAGCATTTCTGCTAAGCCCGTAATCACGTTAAATAAAATCTCTAATTTCCTGCTACACTTCCCTGAGTACTCTCTTCAGTCCTGGGTACCTTGTAGAGTTCTCTTTATGTCTTTATAGTCTACCTTGTACTCTCTACTACTGTAAAGAGAACTCCCCATCAGTTCAATAAGTCTTTATATTAAACTTTCCTCATCCAAACAAGTGTGTGGTTTGTTTCCAGACTGATACAATGAGACTGAACATTAAATCCAGACTCTCGAAGTGCACCCATATTAATAAATGAAGCCTTATGCAGTCCCTGCAGTCAACTGCTGTAATGGCTCACGTGCAATCACGGTGGAAAGGCCTTTAGCAAATGCTCAAATCTTGCTCAATCTGGAAGAATCTATACTAGAGAAAAACCCTATGAATGTAAATAGATTAGAAAAGGCTGCTAACCAACTTAATAACTTATTCAACACCACTGAATTCATATTGTAAAGAAACTTTCCGAATTTAGTCAAATGTGGAGAGGGATTTAGCTGAAGCCCAACATTTAGCCAACATTGCAGAATTCACACCAGAGAGAAACCTTATAGACGTGATAAATATGAAAAGGCCTATGGGGACCTTTTTATTTTTTTTTTTGAGATGGAGTCTCACTCTGTTAGCTCGATCTCGGCTCACTGCAACCTCTGCCTCCCAAGTTCAAGCAATTCTCCTGCCTCAGCCTCCTGAGTAACTGGGATTACAGGTGCATGTCACCATGCCCAACTCATTTTTTTTGTATTTTTACTAGAGACGGAGTTTCACCATGTTGGTCAGGCTGATCTCAAACTCCTGACCTAGTGATCTGCCCGCCTTGGCTTCCCAAAGTGCTGGGATATAGGCGTGAACCACCAGGCCCAGCAGGGACCACTCTTCTTTAACAAACTCATGGGAGCAATGGAGAGAAACTTTGAATGTAGCAAAGAATTTTAGCCAAGTTCAGCCCTTATTCAATTCCAGAGAATTCACATTACAAGGAAATCGAAGATTGAAGATATAATGTCAAGCAGCAGGAAGAAATAATCAGAAATGTATTTATATATTTCATTAAATGCGATAACCTTTGCCATACCAACCAAGCACATACGGCTGAAGGGATTCAACCAAGTATCCGAAACCTGCTAAGGCAGTGATTTTATCAAGATTATTGGAGAAATGCAGGCTCAGAGAAAACTGGAAGCATGTGATAACAAGAACTTCATTTGGTTGAAAGCATTCATAGTTCACTTCCACTGGATGAAAAGGAATTTTTTCAAAAATTAACTACTGCAATACTGTATATACAAGAGGGTTTTGTGTGTGTGTGCGTATGTGTAGCTGCAAAACAGACCTGACTAGGTATAAATTATAGTAAAAAAGGACCTGAAATACAGGCAAAATACTGCAATAGACAGCTGTTTCTGGGTGGCAGAATCAGAATTTAAAATATTTTTTTCTTGAGACAAAGTCTTGCTCTGTCACCCAAGCTGGAGTGCAGTGGCGCGCTCTCGGTTCACTGTAACCTCTGCCTCCCAGGTTCAAGCGATTCTCCTGCCTCAGCCTCCGGAGTAGCTGGGACTACAGGCACCCACCACCACGCCCAGCTCATTGTTGTATTTTTAGTAGAGACGGGGTGTCACCATGTTCGTCAGGCTGGTCTCCATCTCCTCACCTCGTAAACCACCCTCCTCGGTCTCCCAAGTGATGGGATTGTAGGCATGAGCCACAGTGCCCAACCAGAATTTTAGAATTTCAGTGCTTTCCAGTGAGCAAGAAATTTCAAGTCTACCAAAGTTCCCATCCCACACTACATATTGTATATCCTGGGATTTCTGCTGTCAAAAACACACACCAGCTTGGCCCATGAAGGCATATGTTTGCAACCACCTAAAAATATATGGAAAACTAGGCTGAGAAAAATACTTGTGGGAAACCAATGCCGTGCATAACGCCAGTGTATCACTTTAGAACTTGGCTTACTGGGCAAAAGAGAGCACTTTGCTGAAAATATTTGATTAACTGTAAGATTATGCTCCATGGCCCCAGAAAAAACAATTACTACTACATATTGTACACTTACTGTAGGTCAAGCAATGGGCCAGGAACTTTTTATGCTTGATCTTTTTTTTTTTTTTCTTTTTTGAGACAGAGTCTCACTCTGTTGTCCAGGCCAGAGTGCAATGGCACGATCTTGGTTCACTGCAACCTCTGCCTTCTGGGTTCAAGTGATTCTCCTGCCTCAGCCTTCCGAGTAGCTGGGATGGCAGGCGTGTGCCACCATACCAGGCTAACTTTAATATTTTTTAGTAGATACAGGGTTTCACCATGTTGGCCAGGCTGGTTTCGAACTCCTGACCTTGAGTGATCCACCCGCCTCGGCCTTCCAAAGTGCTGGGATTACAGGCATTAAGCCACCACGCCTGGCCTGCCTGATCTTACTTAATCCTCATAGCAAGTCCATGAGCTATGTCTACCCTCCTTTTAGAGTAAGGTTTGGGAAGTCACAAGTAGCCCCACTGTGGAGCTAGGAGGCGGAGGGAGGGAGGGAGAGCAGTTGGCGCTGCCAAAAGCAGTAGGCAGAGGGCAGAAGGAGCTGGGTCAGAGAGGAGATGTTATAAGTCCAGTGGGTCACTGACAAAGAGGAGGTCCCCCTGCCGGGGTCCAGGAGGATGGTGATGTAGGCCACCCCACTGCCAGCGCCCTCTGCTTGCTGCTGAGGTCTCTCTCAGTCTGGGCTGTAGAGCTGTGGAGATGCTTTCCTGTTCTTTATTTCTCCTTTCATCTTTTAAGATAAACCTTTATCAACTAATGTTACTGAAGTTTATGCTGGTCCTTGCAACCTGAAAGCCTAACACAGCTTTATAGTTTCTATAACATTTTTATTGTAAAAAGTTCAAGAAGCCATTTACAAGCCAAAAAGTATTAGAATAACATAATTTTTATAGACACATTTTTCTGTACAAAAGGTTAATCTTCATAGGAATTTTAAATAAATAATCTAAAAATCAGGGTCACTGATTGCAAAATAGGTCTCTCTCTTGACTGTCTCAAGGTGACATGCCTTCTATGTGGCCAAAAGATGTGGGGTTTGACACCTGTGACGAGCCTGGGCAGTGAGTCTCTGGCGAAGATTTCTCACTTTCTTGATAAGATTCGGTCCCGAGGTGTCCCATTCTACTGCTCTTCGATTTAAAGAAACTTGAAAATAAAATTTAAAATTAAGAAAAGCTGAGTTTTCTGATGTTAGCAATGACATAGCATTTATTTTAAAGACAAATGTGTTATGAAAATATTGAAATGAAATTCTAAAAACCTAAATTTTACCTATTACCTGGCCCCAGGTGGTTCCATTTGCAAGCCAAATATTTATTTGTTGAACTGAATGAATGCTAACAGAGAACATCTCTGCTTTTGAAACATTTGGGATACAAACAGTCTTAACTTAGATACAAAGCTTGATTAAGAGAGAATTTGAGTTTTTGCAACAGTAAGCTTCCTCACAACGATGCTTAATGGTAATGAGAAAAGGCATTCCAATCATAATACTGTGACATATATACCATGACTATCTTTCCAATAAGTAAAACTAAATAAATCAAATGTTTTTTAATATTAGCTAATATCAGGAAGGTCCAGAATCAAGATTAAAATATGGCAATATGTCCAAGTGTAAGAATGTTACTGATTTAGAGGGGCTAGTGAACCTGGATTTTTTTTTTAAGCCCTTAAAAATATACTTCTGTGAAATTTAGTTACATACTCAGTCCAATTACTGTTTTTCCTCCCAAAGGAATACAACTTTTATGCTTTTGTGTTTTGCTGCCAAATAACGTAAGCTTACCAAGTAACCATTTTAAAATTTAGAATTAAGTTTTGATATGTCAGAATAGAGAATGGCTGAGAATCTTTCATACTTCATTTGACTCTTGAATGATTTTTGGTTTAATTCATATTCTGGTGTAGAATTTATAGATGCATATAAAAGTATGAGTGGGCAAAAAATTTTACACACACTGGACTCTCATGACCTGATATTAGGTATATTTCTTATAAAGTTCTTCTTCTTGAGACATTGTGTAAAAGTTTGTTCTTCTAAAAGAACTCAAAAGATTTCATTACATTCTGTTTCATCTATATGGCAGTTTTACTGAAAAAATTAGTTGAAAGAAAGTTTAGGCTGGGCACGGTGGCTCACAGCTGTAATCCCAGCACTTTGGGAGGCTGAGGCAGGAGGACCATAAAGTCAGGAGTTCAAGACCAGCCTGGCCAACATGGTGAAACCCCGTCTCTACCAAAAATACAAAAATTACCTGGGAGAGGTGGTGTATGCCTATAATCCCAGCTACTTGGGAGGCTAAGGCAGGAGAATCGCTTGAACCCAGGAGGTAGAGGCTGCCGTGAGCTAAGATCGTGCCACTGCATTCCAGTCTGGGTGACAGAGCGAGACTCCACCTCAAAAAAAAAAAAAAAAAAAATGTTTAACAGAGTGTCTTGTCTCCTCCCTCCTCCCCTATAAAAATAAAGACTACACTTCACTGGAAAGCTTATTAGCATCTTTATGGATGGCCTAATGCTGTGACTACATTTCTATAAGATGTTTCTACCCTGTCCCTTCTAAAAAGCCCAAAGCCCTCCAACGAACCAGGTCGAGGGATCAGAAATCAGCTTATCAGCATCAAGCCATGTGCCTTTGGCAGTTCTACTGCTGGTGGGGCCCAGAATTCCACTGGAGCGCCCAACGCAGACACGTGTTTTCAATGGTTGTGGAACGGAGCCCAGCCCAGATGAACAGTCAAGAAAATTCAACTATGCAACAGCTTGGAAAAACAACACTGAGATTTTCTTTTCACAAGGATGTCAGAACAGCTATGAATCTCATATTATCAATTTAGTTGGCCAGAGACTTCTGTTAGAGCCTCCAACGACTATGTTTTTGGGCAGCAATGCTGGCGCTCAAGAAGTGGGGTGGCTTTAGTGGTGTTCGGGATGTTTTCTTTACTTGGAATTTAGTCTGCACCCAGTCTTCCCACTGGGAAATTTGAGAGAATCTTGCTGCCTTCATTTTAGGATTTTCATTATCAGTGCCCTGGGAAAATGGCATCCACATGCTTATACATATAATTTAAGCCACTATTTTGCTTGAATATTGTTACATTTAAAATGACAGATTAAACCTTTGCTTATCAACTTACTCTGTGTTGAGGGATCCATTTCAGAAGTGTCATTTAGTTGTGAGGTTCTAGGCAAACAGCTTGAGTCCTCCTGTTCATTTTGGAACCTGGACTTTTCTGTTATAAGAGTGAAGAGATAATGATGTCTGGGAGTGAGGAGAAAGGCTCATTTCAAATGGTCCCCAGTAAATTAAAATCACCAAAGATGGCCAAAAACCCTTTTCTTTTCTAATCTAAGAAGAATGCTGTCAACATTCAAAAGGCAAGGAGTGTCATTAGTGAGAATTAAGAGCTGAGCCGGTTTCTGTAACGTACTTTTTTTTTTTGAGACGGAGTCTCACTCTGCCGCCCAGGCTGGAGTGCAGTCGGCCCACTTTGACCTCCATCTCCTGGGTTCAAGTGATTCCTCTGCCTCAGCCTCCCGAGTAGCTGGGATTACAGGCGCATGTACCACCACACCCAGCTAATTTTTGTATTTTTAGTAGAGATGGGGTTTTACCATGTTAGCCAGGATGGTCTCAATCTCCTGACCTTGTGATCCACCTGCGTCAGCCTCCCAATGTGCTGAGATTACAGATGTGAGCCACCGTGCCCGGCCCTCTGTAATGTACTTTAAAAACACTTTCAGCTAAAACAAAAAGCCAACAAACTCAAAAAGATAGATGTTAGGGTATAGATGATGAAATGTGATTAGCAAGGCTTCCCTGGACACTTGTGAGCTGATCACTATCGGCTTTAGCTAGGCAGGGCCTCATCACAACACACAGCAAATCAGAGCCAGTCACAGGCAAGTTTTACCCGAAACCTTCTTAGAGTGCTAGGCAGGGCAGTGCCTTCCCCTACTTTCATCAATTACTCTCCTAATCTCAAAACTGATACTCACCCTCAGCGTGTTTCACTGTTCCCTAATTCCTACAGCAGCACATCCAATATGATGGCAAGGTGTTTTTAAAAACATGTGCATCACGACATTGCTTATAACGGTCCCTTCCTTTTCACTCCTATAGCGTCTAAGGCTCCATGCGCCAAGGCCAGAATGCTGGGAGTCTCATTGACTCAGTAAGATGCCTGCCTTTTACTTCTCTGAGAAGCTTCAGCTAATGGTTTTAACTCATAGTTTTAGCTCAATAAGTCATTAAGGTCATGTGACTAATAACCAAATGACTAATTTAAACTGGGGAATGGAATCTAAGAGTCATCTTCAAACATCTGAAGGGCTGAGACATGGCAGAGGTAATAAACAATCTGCAATCTGCATTGTTCCAGAGGAAAAGAGAAAAGAAAAGGTAGATTCAACTCTTTTGCATAAGAAATAACTTTTGTTTTTTTTAAGACGGAATCTCGCTCTGTCACCCCAGGTTGAAGTGCAGTGGCATGATTTCAACTCACTGCAACCTCCACCTCTTGGGTTCAAGCGATTCTCTTGCCTCAGCCTCCTGAGCTGAGATTACAGCATGGAGCACCATGCCCAGCTAATTTTTTTTGAGATGGAGTTTCTCTCTTGTTGCCCAGGCTGGAGTGCAATGGCGCGATCTTGGCTCACTGCAATCTCCACCTCCTGGGTTCAAGCAATTCTCCTGCCTCAGGAGAATATATAAAAATATATACCAGATCCAGATCTGCAGAAGGTGACTGCTACAAAGAGAGAGACTGTCATTTTTTGAGGAATCAGTTTCTGAAAATAATTTACATGAAGGCTGTAAGACATAACATGCTAATTAGAATGCCCTCTTCCTGGGTTATTCTTTTGTGTTCTTTCATTTTCCAGTATAAGAATCTACTTAGGAAAAGCTGCTAAGAACTTAGCTGTAACTTTGAATGGTGGCTAACTGAGAGACAGACTATTTCAGAGAACTAAAGGTATTCTAGACTCAGAGAACAGCCAACAATTAAAAATTGGGAAGACTGACCAAGCACAGTGATACTATCTATGTAACATATTATACAGATATAGTACACACACACACACACACACACACACACACACACACACACACACACACACAGAGCAGGTCCTCAAATAATGTCATTTTGTTCAATGTCATTTCATTATAACATTTATGAGAAAAAAAAATTGATTCCTGTCTGGGTCACTGTCTGTGTGGAGTCAGCACGTGTTCCCCATGTCTGCGCTGTTTTTTCTAGATGCTCAGGTTTGTGCCCACATCCAAAAGATACGAACATTCAGTTCATTGCGTGTTTAGACTGTCCCAGTGTGAGGGGGTCTGCGTGTGCCCTGTGATGGGAGGGCGTTCTGCCCAGGGCTAGCTCCTGCCTTGTGCCCTGAGCTGCTGGGACAGGCTCTGGTCATGGACGGGGTTTGGCCATGACCTTGAACTGGAGTAAATGAATACATAACTATTTTATTTGTTTTTATTAATCTTTCTTAAATGTATGCATTGCTCACACTTATTTCAACATTTAATATTAGAAGTACTTTAGGCTGGGCATGGTGGCTCACGCCTGTAACCCCACCACTTTGGGAGGCCGAGGCGGGTGGATCAACTGAGGTCAGAAGTTTGAGACCAGGCTGGCCAACATGACGAAACTCCATCTCTACTGAAAATACAAAAATTAGCCAGGTATAGGGGCACATGCCTGTAATCCCAGCTACTCCGGAGGCTGAGGCTGAGGCTGAGGCAGGAGGATCACTTGAACCTGGGAGGCAGAGGTTGCAGTGAACTGTGATTGCGCCACTGCACTCCAGCCTGGGAAACAAGAGCAAAAGTTCATCTCAAAAAAAGGCAAGAAAAAAAATGAAAAAAGGTAAATTATAGGGCATGTGAATTATGTATCAATTATTTTAAAAACCAATGTATACACATTATAAAAGGCTGAAACAAAATAAAACAGTAAAATATAAGCTCCCTGTTAACTGTACTCTAGAATTTGATGGATTTTTTTTTAAAGGGGACAAAGTCTTATCTGTTGCCCAGGCTGGAGTGCAGTGGCGTGATAACAGCTCAGTGCGGCCTTGAACTCCTGGGCTCAAAGAGATCCTCCCACCTCAGCCTCCAGAGTATTTTAGAGTTATACATTATAATTTTGAGTTTTCAGTTGGTGCCTCTATAAGCCTTGTACCGAACCCCAGTGTTGGATCAGATCCTATGAGAAGCTCCCATGTGGTACTTGAATACACTGTTGTTCTGAGGCCCAGCTTTTGGCAAAGCACATATTTTACCCTGGAGCAATAGAATCAGACAGAACTCCACAGGACAGTCTGCACGGGCTTCTCCCTTGATTAGGACTCCGTTTTTTTTAGTCCCACCTCAGCCCACCCTTTCCCACCAAAAATATGGTTACCAGTGATTACCTTTTACTTCAGCAGTGAACTGAATAGAAGTGCCAAAATACATCCCAATAATCTGTTCACCGGCCAGGCACAGTGGCTCACACCTATAATCCCAGCACTTTGGGAGGCCAAGGCGGGAGGATAGTTTGAACCCAGCAGTAGGAGACCAGCTTGGGTAACATAGTGAGATCTCATCTCTACAAATAATTCAACAAATTAGCTAGGTATGGGGATGCACGCCTATGGTCCCAGCAACTTGGGAGGCTGAGGTGGGAGAACTGCTTGAGCCCAGGAGGTCGAGGCTGCAGTGAGCCGTGATTGTGCCACTACATTCCAGCCTGGGTAATAGAACAAGACCCTGTCTCAAAAACAACAACAAAAAAAAATCATAATAATAAACACTACTAAAAGAATAAATCTGTAACACCATGGAGAGAAAGGCCTCTCACTCACCTTTATGACATAGATGGTCAGCATGTTCGATGGCTGCATTTATCTCTTGCTTTAAAAAACACTTTCTAGATGCATCTGAAAGGGCAGAAGCTTTCTTTGCCGATCTCAAATCGAACTCTTTTCCTTCAGCTTCCTTCCTCTAAATTCAAATAAATGGAAAAAAAGAGTACATAAAAAGTGTAGTAATACACATCTCGCAGAGGAATGAGTCCCTTCTGTCTTCTCTGCCCACTTTCCTTTATATTCCCACGGCAGGTAGGATCTGTTTGGTGTTATGGTCATTGGGGTGCCTGTGTTGGCCCAAAGCTACAAAGAGCCTTGAAAGCACAGGCAGGTTTTATCCACCTCCCAGTATGGCAGAGTGCCACGAAGCACACAACTACATCCCCGTAGTTGCTGAAATAATAATACATTTCAATAAGTTTCAAATCTTATGAGACTAAGCCAGTTTTGTATTAGTGGCAATCGCATTTTATTTAATTAAATCCAACTCCTAAAGTTTGCTCATATTCTTAAAAAGCTACAGCTTTTACATGAAAACACATACTTTTTATATTATAGAAATACTAATGCATTAAACAACAAAAACTTAAAAACAAATCACAAAATAGGAGGGCAAGGAAGGAACACAGAAATCCATCCCTTTCACGTTACTGATGAGGGGGCTGAGTCTGCGCAATTTCCCAAGGCCACATTGTAGTCAAGTCAGCTTTATGATACAGGACATTTGACACAAGGAAGCATTTCTGCAGAACATGAAAGGTCCTTACAATGATTCTCAGTCAGCTCTGAAAAGTACCATTTTACCCAAAGTCCAGCAGCAGTGGCTTTCACACAGTCTAGCCCTAGTGTCAGCAATGCTTACGTGAGGATGTGAGCATTGTGAGGATGTAATAATTTATTATTATTATTATACCCCAGTTTTCCTGAGGAGAACAGCCTCAGAGCTCTGGATATTACCTCCACCCTCTCCAAGCCCTTCTTTCCTGTCCTAGAATGAAAGGGTTATAAAATAAGGCCCCATGCCACCAGGATGGGGTAGAAGGAAAATGAATCTGGAATAGTGACGTGAAGGTAATACACACTGTAAAAAGCCAGCTTTCAGAATAGACATTGTGATACAGCAACAGAGAGAACCAATTAAGCCAGGTATCTAGATCTTGATCTTTCCCCAGCTCTTCAGTGTCGTTACAAAAATCCATGTTACCTGCGATAATATCCCCAGAGCATAGATCCCAGAGCCTTTGGGAGGGTAAACCAAAAGATACGTATGTGTGACATAGGCCATAAATTACGTCCTCGAATTCCATTCTTTGATTCTTCTTTAGGAATAAAATCTTTTTATTTTTAGCTACCTTATTAACTAATAGGAAGAGAATCTTAATTTTATTTGGGATGATAATGTGTCCTGCGAAGAATACTATTTTTCTCAGCATCCTTTGCAGACAAAGGTGGCTCGAACTGTGATACGGAACTCCTGGAAAGAAGTGAAAAGGGAATTTGGCTCAGATGGGGAGGCAGAAGATTCACACTTGTGCTCTCCCTCCTCCCTGCTGTCTGGAATGTGTACGTGATGGCTGGAACTGCAGGAGTCATCTGGGATGAAAATGAAAGCCATACACTAAGAAGTGGTGCAGAACGGTTGAAAGGGGCCATTTCCCTGATAACTCTGGAGCCACAATATAAACCCTGGACTGCCTACCTCCAGACTATATTTCTATCCTGTTCATAGTCACTATAATTTTGAGTTTTGTTTCTAGCAGCTACATACAATTTCTACTTATTCAAAATCTTTTACATTGTTAAGTATAAAGAATTAGCTAGGCCAGGTGCGGTGGCTCACACCTGTAATCCCAGCACTTTGGGAGGCTGAGGTGGGCGGATCACCTGAGGTCAGGAGTTTGAAACCAACCTGGCCAGTGAAACCCCATCTTTACTGAAAATACAAAAATTGCTGGGTGTGGTGGTGGGCACCTGTAATCCCAGCTACTCAGGAGGCTGAGGCAGGAGAATTATTTGAACCCAGTAGGCGAAGGTTGCAGTGAGGCAAGAACAACACCATTCAACCCTGGCCGGGGGGGAAGGGGAGAATTTTTTCTCCAAAAAAAAAAAAAAAGAATTAGCTAAATTAAAGTACTAATATTATTCAATCAGCCAGAACAAAAATCCAGGAAGTTGACAAATTGAGGCATACTAATGTAAATGAGAAAGACGTTTGATCATTTTCAGGTAGAATCAGTATTAGACTACTTTTCTGACAAACACCTATTAAAATCAGATTATCTTTTCCAGCAAAAACCACCTGGTTTGATGCTTTTGTCATCTGACTCTGTGCTATTTCAAAATTTCAGTGCTTAGGCTGGGGGCAGTGGCTGACATCTGTAATCCCAGCACTTTGGGAGGCTGATGCAGGAGGATCACTTAAGACCAGGAGGTTGAATTTTCAGGCTATGCAACTAAGTGAGACCCTGTCTCTTAAAAAAAAAAAATCAATGCTTCATATAATAAAAGGTTTATAACACTATTCCTACCTTCTTGGCTTCCTCCTCCACCATTGCATTTAATAGCTCTATTTCTTTCCTTCTGTTTTCCCTAAGGAGTTTGGCTACTTCCTGGTAACATTTGTTTCGTTGTAGATCATCACAGTTTTGTTTATGTAAAGACTGAATCTTCCAGTCAGTATTCAGGCATGCTTGTTCAGCCTTCGCCAAATTTTCTTCCATCACCTAGGAAAAAGTTACACATTTCAGAAACAAGGTCAGACTAATAATATATACAATGAAGGTATAACCACTCAATGGTATGCAAGTGTCAGATCAGCTGTTCACAACCCTGGCTGCATATTAGAATCACCCAGGAATGCTTAAAATAAGCTGATGTCTGGGCCCCACCAGACATCAACTTATAAACTGATAGACCTGCTTCTAACTGTTTACGAAACATGTGTTCTTCAAGATCCACTTTTCATCTATAGGCATCTGCATCTGCTCGTATTATGCCAATTAAACCAATCACTGGACAGCTGGGTACCAGCACCTTTAAAAAGCTCTTCAAGTGATTCTAATTTACAGCCAGGGTTAAGAACTTATCAGCTACGGGATGGGTGGGATTCAACAATTTTCATGTTTTCAGCACTCTGAAGAGGGGATAGAAGCCCATTTTAACAGACTGGACTAAAGACTATTAAAAAAAATTAATGGAATATCTTAAGGAAATCACCTAAGAGACTGTTGTAGAATAGAAGGTATCTAATGTACACTATTCCTGGTTTTGGGATAGGAGCAGACTGGTACAAATACCCATTTAACAGTTTGTTAAAGGGATAATAGCCAGCGCAATGGCTCACGCCTGTAAACCCAGCACTTTGGGAGGCTGATGTAGGAGTTCGAGACCAGCCTGACCAACATGGAGAAACCCTGTCTCTACTAAAAATACAAAATTAGCCAGGCATGGCGGCGCATCCCTGTAATCCCAGCTACTCAGGAGGCTGAGGCAGGAGAATCGCTTGAATCCGGGAGGTGGTGGTTGCAATGCGCCGAGATTGTGTCACTGCACTCCAGCCTGGGCAACAAGAGCAAAACTCCGTCTCAAAAAAATAAAAATAAAAAAATAATAAGAGATAATATAGAAAGCTCTTCTTTGAAAGTATCAGGTTCTATTTCAATTCACTTAAGTCAGCATTTCTGAAAGTGTACTCTGTAAGAAATTTTCTCAAATGTGTGTGGGAAGTTTTCTTAAAGGTTGTACAGTATCCTCAAATTTGGCATGGAATATACCTCACTTTAAGACAGCATTTCCAATCCTTATTTGACCACCTCCATCTTATTGAATAATAGTTAAGAGTCCACACAATACACTTGGAAGTGCGGGCTTACATACCAAGCAGGGACTTGATGCTTTGAACCTAATTAACTCAGGGAAAATGTCTGAGGCAGGACACAGAGGACAGTATACTTTGTCACTGTTCCTTTGTATTCTCCTATAAGTCACTATTCCTTTGTACTTTCTTTGAGGAAATTCCTTTGTATTTCCTCAAAGTGTAGGAAAAAGACATGTACATGATTATCAGTGAAGTAAGCATCTTTTTCTCTTTTGGGGGATGGAGTCTCGCTCTGTTGCCAGGCTGGAATGCGGTGGCACAATCTCGGCTCACTGCAACCTCCACCTCTGGGGTTCAACTGATTCTCCTGCCTCAGCCTCCCTAGTAGCTGGGACTATAGGCATGTGCCACCATGCCCAGTTAATTTTTGTATTTCTAGTAGAGACAGGGTTTCACCATGTTGGCCAGGATGGTCTTGATCTCTTGACCTCGTGATCCACCCAACTTGGCCTCCCAAAGTGCTGGGATTACAGGCGTGAGCCACTGTGTCCGGCCGCATCTTATATATAAAAGAAAGCAATGTGAGATTCTAGGAACTGTGACAACTGAAGCAAAGAAACAAACTAACTCAACTTCACAGTTTTTCAATTTTGTTCTTTTTTTTTGAGACGGAGTTTCGCTCTTGTTACCCAGGCTGGAATGCAATGGCGTGATCTTGGCTTACCGCAACCTCCGCCTCCTGGGTTCAGGCAATTCTCCTGCCTCAACCTCCTGAGTAGCTGGGATTACAGGCGCGCGCCACCATGCCCAGCTAATGTTTTGTGTTTTTAGTAGAGACGGGGTTTCACCATGTTGACCAGGATGGTCTCGATCTCTTGACCTCGTGATCCACCCGCCTCGGCCTCCCAAAGTGCTGGGATTACAGGCTTGAGCCACCGCACCTGGCCAATTTTGTTCTTTTAATAGGATGGCAGATGAAAATTTCTCCTCTCTATATACACTAATGGATATTTTTACCTTCTGAGTTTTTTGGCTCTGCATTTCACCTGCTTCTATCAGTTTATGAAACATGTGTTCTTCAAGATCCACTTTTCGTCTATAAGCATCTGCATCTGCTCGCATTTCTTTTGCAACAGCTTCTTGATTTTGAGTAAGATTCTGTTAAAATCATTTGTAAAAAAAGGAATGATTTATATAATAATGCTAGAATACAAAAATGACTTTTTTCAGAATAGTAATATGCACACAAATAAAAGCTGTCGTCATCTAATTTTCAAAGTAAAATGCAAAGACTGGAGACATCAGCAAAGATGGCAGAGTAAGGACCCCTGGAAATCCTCTCATCTATAAAAGCATTGAGAACACTAATAAAAAAATATCAAAATGAACTTTTTCAGCATTCTGGAAATTAACCAAAGGCTTGGCGCTATCTGGGGAGCATTTACTTATAAAAATGGCTGAATCTCAGTAAAAACAGCCAGCTCTCTGACATTTCATCTTGCATTTTTCCTGTTCCACCCCACTCCCAAGCTATACATTAGCCTTTACTTTTTTTTGGTGAAACAGAGTCTCACTCTGTCACCCAAGCTGGAGTGCAGCGGCGTGATCTCGGCTCACTGCAATCTCCTCCCGGGTTCAAGTGATTCTCTTGCCTCAGCCTCTCAAGCAGCTGGGATTCTATGTGCCCACCACCATGCCTGGCTAGCTTTTTTGTATTTTTAGTAGAGATGGGTTTCACCATGTTGGCCAGGCTGGTCTTGAACTTCTGACCTCAAGTGATCCACCTGCCTCAGCCTCCCAAACTGCCAGGATTACAGGCGTGAGCCACTGCACCTGGCCTATGCATTAGTCTTGAAAATCAGCAGCCTAGAAGCCAAGGGAGGAAGCCAAGCAAAACGGGGTTGGACAGAGCTCCTTCAAACCACCATTGCCAGAGAACTGGCATTATTTGACCTGTCTGGTGGCTCCCTGAAAGATCACTCCTAAGGCTGTCTTTTTTTATCTCACTCAGGGCTCGCCTAGTACAGAAATAGCCTTTTCCCTGGGGAAGCTGCTGAAAACAATTAGAGCAAACTGTTGAAAATCTTGGCTGCTTGGGGCAGTGGATCTTAGGAGAGCAACTGATAGGCTAATCAAAAAGCTTAACAGGGAAAACAGGAGAATGAGATGTCCACAGGAGGCTTAAAAAAGCTGGTAGATTCCTGGAAGGTCATGTGCATGTGTAAGGCTGAGCATATGCCAAGGGCTGTGTTCTCAGTCCTGAGAAGGACCTAAGATCTCACATTTCTGGTTAACTCTGAGGTTTTGCATAACCAGGAAGTAAAATCTAAGAAGTATAAACTACCTAGCTGAGTGATAAAGCATGCCCTAACGTGCACACAGAGCCCCTCAACAACTACTAGAAGTGTACTGGTTCAAAAAATCTATGAAAGCCAGGCACGGTGGCTCATGCCAGTTATCCCAGCACTTTGGGAGGCCAAGGCAGGTAGATCATGAGGTCAGAAGTTTGAGACCAGCCTGACCAACATGGTGAAACCCCATCTCTACTAAAAATACAAAAATTAGCTAGGCATGGTGGCACACACCTGTAATCCCAGCTGCTCAGGAAGCTGAGGCAGAAGAATCACCTGCACCCAGGAGGTGGAGGTTGCTGTGAGCCAAGATCGCACCACTGCACTCCGGCCTGGATGACAGAGTGAGACTTCATCTCAAAAAAAAAAAAAAAAGATTCTATGAAAATCTCTGTCCAATCATATGCTGACCCCCAAACTACCTGAGTAAAGATGTCAGTGATTACATACAACAAAAAATAGAGGGTCTTGCTCTGTCTCCAAGGCTGGAGTGCACAAGCCTGGCTCACTGCAACCTCCATCCCCCAGGCTCAAGTGATCCTCCCATCTCAGCCTCCTGAATAGCTGGCACCACTGGTGTGTACCACAACATTTGGCTATTTCTGTGTATTTCTAGTAAAGATGGGATCTTGCAGTGTTGCCCAGGCTAAAAAGTCTGACTTTTTAAGTGGGCTGAAAGAAGTGAAAACCACAGTTTCAACACTAAATGAGTAACAAAACATTTTTCCTAAATAATAAAAATTTATATTAACAAAGCTCCTTTTTCTAGCGTCTTGAAAACTGAACAGTAAATACTAGGAAGGTATTTGCTGATTTAACTCCAGAAGATTCCAATTTAAAGTACTTTACAGGTCAGGCACAGTGGCTCATGCCTGTAATCCTGGCACTTTGGGAGGCCGAGGAGGGCTGACTGCTTGAGCCCAGGAGTTTGGGACCAGATGAGCATGGTGGCGCATGTCTGTAGTCCCAGCTATTGGGGAGGCTGAGGCGGGATGGAGCAGGGGAGGTGAAGACTATAGTGAGCTGAGATGGTGCCACTGCACTGCAGCCTGGGTGACTGAGTAAGACTGTCTCAAAAATAAATAAATAAGGCCGGGCGCGGTGGCTCAAGCCTGTAATCCCAGCACTTTGGGAGGCCGAGGCGGGTGGATCACGAGGTCAAGAGATCGAGACCATCCTGGTCAACATGGTGAAACCCCGTCTCTACTAAAAATACAAAACATTAGCTGGGCATGGTGGCGCGCGCCTGTAATCCCAGCTACTCAGGAGGCTGAGGCAGAAGAATTGCCTGAACCCAGGAGGCGGAGGTTGCGATGAGCCGAGATCGTGCCATTGCACTCCAGCCTGGGTAACATGAGTGAAACTCTGTCTCAAAAAAAAAAATAATAAAAATAAAAATAAAAAAATAAATAAATATAGAAAGAAAAAGAAAAAGAAAAGAAAGAAAGAAGAAAGAAAAAGAAAGAAAGAGAAAAGAACAGAACAGAACTTTACAGCTCTCGACTGATTTACCTTTCAGGATCCTTGTGAGGTATTGGGATAATTTTGCAGTCACTATTACTTAATTACAGGAAAATTCAGTAAGTTGGTAAAAAATCCTGAGGCAAAATCTGGGGCCTACATCTGGTGCTTCAGACACTAGACTAAGCTGCTAACAGAAACATGAATTAAATAATTACAACAAACTGTACATTCAGACATTTTGGCTACCTTACAATCCTGCATGGCATGATATTCTGCTTAAAAAGTGAATAAAACGAACACTAGAAAACCATGAATAAATACAGTCTAAAATGGGTTTATACAAACTCTGTTTTTCTTTTTTTTTTTTTCTTTCTTTCTTTCTTTTTTTTGAGATAGGGTCTTGCTCTGTTTTCCCAGGCTGGAGTACAGTGGTGTGATCATGGCTCACTGCAGCCTTGAACTCCAGGGCTCAAGTGATCTTCCTGCCTCAGCCTCCTGGGTAGCTGGGATTACAGATGGGCATGCCCAGCTAATTTTTAAAGTTTTCAGTAGAGATGGGGCCTCACTATATTGCCCAGGTTTGGAACTCCTTAGCTCCAAGTGATCCTCCTCCCACCTCAGCCTCCCAAAGTGCTGGGATTACAGGTTTGAGCCACTGAGCCTGGCCAAACCCTGCTTTTCTTATGTTGGAAATAACTGAATTATACCTTCTCATAAAGTCTCTTTTGTGATTCGAGTTCCAGCTGTCTCATTTCTAGGTCTTTGGCTGTGGCAGCAATTTCTCGATCTCTCATGTATATCTATGGCCAAACAACAAACTGTAAATACCAAAAGAATTTACAAAATCATTTTTAATAGATTTAGTAATCCTGTAATCTGAATGACCTACTAACAGTATTTAAAATAACAGCAATTGGGTTCTTGAAACCAGAGCAACTGAGAAAGATTAATATTCATTGCAGAATCTAGGAATAATCTCTCAAAGTTTAATTTAAAAATAAAAAGCACAATACCATATGCCCATCTACTCAGACTGGAAGAACAGACAGCAGTTCTTACAGTATTACAGTAACCAGTATCATGAGTTAGAAAAACTTGAGCAGTTTAAATCTGGGGTAGATAAAAATATAACATTTATTTAATGCTCTTTTTGACTAAACTTCTATACTTTTATAAGTTTGGTTTGACAATTAACAATTCTAGATTTAAATTTCTTACAGAATGTTCAACCTGTATGAGTTCTGCTCCTAGTGAGTTAATTTAGAATTCACCTATTTCCAAAATTTGATTACTTGGAAGCTTTTTATTCCTATATACTAGAGGGTTTGGATATGGGATATAGCACTCTCTAGAGACTTTTATACGTGATCTTATACATATAAGGTGAAGTGTTAGATATTGTCATTATGGTAAAAGACATGCTATTGAATACCTGAAATAGGAGAAACAGTAAATGAGAATATAGCTGGATGTGCAAACATATATATCCAAGGGCTAAAAGAAAAACATGGACCAGGACCAGTTCAATTCAAACAGGTTACTGGGAAAGGAGCTAGCTCAAAGGTGGGGGGAAGCTTGATTGTATGAAGCAAGAACAGTAATAATGCCAGAAAGTGGAGGAAAGGTGTGGCATAGCAAATATTGCTTTTTAGGAATTTCAATTACAGAGCTCTTTTGCTTATGAATTTTCAGAGATACAAACAGCTATACACCACAGCAAAAACAGATCAGCTTTGCTCGTTGCTAACAGATGTTCATAGTCATATGTACTTGTTACTTCGGATTCAAACAGCCTTTGCTTCTACAGCCTGAGCTGTGAGAAGAGCTTTTGCAGTTTGGCAGGGTCAGAGCACAATATCAGAATAAGCAGCCGGGAGGACAGGAGGCTGGAAGGGTAGGTGGAGGCCAGATTATGTTACTAAAAGGAGTTTATAGGATTCTTGGACTAAAAAGTGCCGCCTCCTATTTCAAAGGGATTTGGAATAAAGACATGAGAGTCTGAGCTTGCATTACTTTGTGGGAAGAACATACACTTTTCTATAGTAATGAAATATCAATCGCATTACTAGATGAGAAAATTAAAAGAAATCTTGGATTTTTGAAAACCAATTTAAAATTAACAAGCTTTAAACAAAACAAGAAGTGTCGTGTTATAAAGAGATAATAGATTTCTAATACATACAAGTTAAAAATACTTTAAAAGACTTAGGTCAGATGCCTGTAATCCCAGCACTTCAGGAAGCCGAGGTGGGCAGGTCACTTGAAGTCAGGAGTTCCAGATCAGCCTGACATACATGGTGAAACCCCGTCTCTACTAAAAATACAAAAATTAGCCAGGTGTTGTGGTGGACACCTGTAATCCCATCTGTTCGGGAGGCTGAGGCATGAGAATCACTTGAATAGGGGAGGTGGAGGTTGCAGTGAGCCAGGATACCACCACTGTACTCCAGCCTGGGCAACAGAATGAGACCTTGTCTAAAAAAAAAAAAAAACTTAAAAAATATTTAGTATTTTATCAAAGCTAGGTTTGAAACTCTAAATTAGTATGTAAATTCAGTGCAATCCTAATAAAAATTCCAATAGGATTTGGAGAGGTGAGAATTCCAAAAGTGAAACAATTCTTAAAGCCTATTTGGAATGATAAACATTTGAGAATACTGAGGAAAACTCAGAAAGGGCCGACTAATGAGTGAGAATTAGGTCTAGTTAGTAAACATTACAAAGCTACTGTCATTCAAACAGTGTGGAACTGGCTTAGGAATAGAAAAAGCAAGGAAGGAGATCAAATATTTAAGAGAATTTAATATGTAAAAACCATCAGTTGGAAAATGACTTGGCTAATATTCAACAAACGGTGTTGGAACAATTGATTTGCCTTTTGGAAATAGGTAAGCTAACCTAACAGAAAGTTAGGTCTAACTTGACAGAAAGATGGACAAATGAGGCAAAAATGTAATCTGTAGTTCTACAATGGAAGATAAATAACAGAAGAGATAGTTAACCTCACTAACAATAAAAAAAGGCAAATTAAAATAGACTATTTGTTATCTATCTACTTGGGAAATATTAAGACTGATGTAGTCCAACTGAGTATACTAGGGGATGGGTACTCTGACAGACTTAAAATAGCTTAAACGGTTTCATTTTTAGAGAACAATTTGGCATAATTTAGAAGTTACTCAACAAAAGTATGTGTGCAAGTGCTCAAAGATCCATACAATGTAGCAAGGTTTTGTTATTTGCAAAACACTGCAAATAATCTAAAAGTCTGGCAACAAACAATTAAATAAACCATTCAATGGGTTATTACACAACTACAAAAAGAGAAATAGATACACATATAACAAATATGAAAGTATATTCAACATATGTAATTTTAAAAAGCAGGTCACAAAAACAATGTATAATGAGAATAATCCCATTTTTGTATAAATATAGAAAAACATGACTATAATTATGCCTCTATCATAGAACACACCTGAAAGGCTATGTAATTAACCATTTTTTAACAGTATTTCTCTGGGGATAAAATGAGGACTAATGGAGAAGGTCCATTTTTAATTCTATATATTTTGTACTGGAAATTATTTTTATACTGGCCACAGATAATTTTTATATGAAAAAAGAATATGTCACCTAATTAAAAATTAACTGCCAGGTGTGGTGGCTCACGTCTGTAACCCCAGCACTTTGGGAGGCCAAGGTGAGCAGATCACCTGAGGTCATGAGTTCGAGACCAGTCTGGCCAACGTGGTGAAACTACATCCCTATGAAAAATACAAAAATTAGCTGGGCATGGTGGTGTGTACCTGTAATTCCAGCTACTTGGGAGGCTGAGGCAGGAGAATCACTTGAACCTGGGAGGTGGAGCTTGCAGTGAGCCAAGATTACACCACTGCACTCCAGCCTGGGTGACAGAGCAAGACTCCGTCACAAAAAAATAACTTAATGGTTAACTGATACTGATTATTTCTATTTTTAGACACATAGTCACCAAGGACACTTGACTAATTTTCCTGGCATTTCTTAAATATTTAGCCATTTATGACATACAAAAGAGAATGAGAAAAGCTGAGGGGAAAAGTAAATAAAATTAAAGGGGCTATTTAGTATTCATGGTGGACTCTAGGAATATTATTTAATTTGAAGGTGTTCATTACATTTAAGTGAGAGTAAATGGAGATGATGTATGAGAACTAAGGTAAGAATAATAAACAAAAAACAAAAAGAAGGAAAGAATAATAAACCTTTCTCCCAATCTCGTCATCCAGTCTTCTTAGCTCCATTTCCCGTTGATCTTGCTGAAGCTTCAGAAAACGCCTTCTTACAGCATCTTGTAAGTGCATTTCCTTTATTTTCAGCTCTCTCTTCACAGCAGCTAGCCTTAAATACAAAATACATCAAGTGGAACAAATAAAGCAATTCCTAATATGATTTAATTTTTTCATAACAGGTCTACCACTCCAATCACTTCAATACAATTGATATCCTTTATTTGAAATGCTCCACTGTCACCAAAAATTACATATACTTAATGCTTTCAGAATTGCAGTAGAAAGCTCACTGGCTCAGTTCAGTTATTCCTTTTAACCCACACTATAAATCTGTTACACAAAGTTTCATCTAAGAATGAGAATCAATAAACACTTACAGAAGTGAGTTTCCCAACAGTTAGGCTTAGTCTCCATGCTTATCCCATAACTTTACTTAATTTACACATTTTACTTTATTAACATATTTTTATTTACTTATTTATATATTTTTTGAGATGGAGTCTTGCTCTGTTGCCAGGCTAGAGTACAGTGGCTCGGTCTCAGCTCACTGCAACCTCTGCCTCCCAGGGTCAAGCAATTCTCCTACTTCAGCCTCCCGAGTAGCTGGGATTACAGGCATGCACCACCACATCCTGCTAATTTTTGTAGTTTTAGTAGAGACGGGATTTCACCATGTTGGCCAGGCTGGTCTCGAACTCCTGACCTCAAGTGATCCACCCACCCTGGCCTCCCAAATTGCTGGGATTACAGGTGTGAGCCACTGCACCCAGCCTATGTGTTTAAGTTTTTGCTTTTTTGTTTTTTTAAGAGACAGGGTTTCACTATGTTGCTCAGGTTGGCCTTCACCTCCTGGGCTCAGACTATAGCTATGTGCCACCACACCCAGCTAACATACTTTTGAATACGCATTTAATACTCATTCCCCTGTCCTCCAAAGTGTTAAATGAGTAATGACATAATCATTTTATGTTACAATTGTCAGGTCACACAGATATGTTTAAAACACAATTCAAAAAAATTATACTCCACTAAAGGTGATACACTCAGCACTTTATTACAAAGCATTTCTGCCCACTATAGAAATGATTCTAAATAATGTCCTTCAAGATACGTTAATGTGTGCAAAGCTATACTGCATCCACCATAGCTTCAGAATTACATTTACTATAGAGCAATTTTTTGAAAAGTGGTATATAAAGATTCTTTTTATTAACTTCATAGTTGGCTAATAGAAATACTACAGCTGGTAATCCTATATATAACGTTATTCCTAAAATAAAAAATTGAAAGAACACAAAACTTACTTGACTAACTCATATGCCCAGATTTTTAAAAAGTGATCAGACATACCTCTGTCTTTGTTGTATCATTTTCTCCTCCTCTTGTAAGAGCATTTCTCTTCTTGTTTCTTCAGCTTTACGAAGCAGCTCCTGTTTCTGGTACCAAGCTTCATCTTCAACTCTTTGCTGGTCGACTTCAGCTTGCATATCTTCAACTGTCTGCCTGAAGTAGATAATATTATTATGAAAACACTCTCTACCTAAGTAATTTAAATCCAAGAATCATCAAAACACAAAATGTATGCTGATTAATGTATAATCCATTTTATTTCTATATGTAAGAATTAACTCTTTAATTTTCTAGCCTTCAAACTCTGATTTTACGCAAATAATTTAAATGTATTTTTCATGAAAACTTTATTATGTTTATAACAGAGTTCGCTGTAGCAGAAAAAGAACAACTATTCCATAATTACCTCTCCCTCAGGTAATCCAACTCATCATTCCTTATTCTTTCTCGTTCCTGTGTCTGATAGTCCACAATAAACTTTGGATATTGATTAAATACTGGATACTGCCCTTTTGTCAGTGCAACGAAAACATGAAGCATGCTGTCTGGATGAATGGCAGTGGGCGTGGTCTCCATGAGATGATAAACTTGTCTAATCACAACATTTATATCCAGGTTATTCCGATGGTGAAAAAAAAACTGTAAGAAAACTTGGTGTTTAAATTGAGATTTACCTGACAAAGCAATTATGAGGTAGAAATAAAACAAGAATTTTAAATAACATGAATCTATCTTTAAGAGTATGCATTTTTCGCTGGGCGAGGTGGCTCACACCTGTAATTCCAGCACTTTGTGAGGCCAAGGCGGACAAATCACGAGGTCAGCAGTTTAAGACCAGCCTGGCCAACACGGTGAAACCCCGTCTCTACTAAAAATACAAAAAATTAGCTGGGAGTGGTGGCTTGTGTCTGTAATCCCAGCTACTTGGGAAGCTGAGGCAGGAGAATCGCTTGAACCCTGGAGGTGGAGGTGGCAGTGAGCCAAGATTGCGCCATTGCACTCCAGCCTGGGCGATAGAGTGAGACTTTGTCTCAAAAACAAAAAAAAATATTTTTTGCAAATTCATTAAAGCTTTTCTCTACTCCAGTTTTACAATGAAGACAATTTATTTTAAAACTGTAACAGAGTTTCACAATCCTAAGAAATTCTGACATAAAACTGTTTACATTTTAATTTAAAATGAAGGCTTTTATTACAATAAAAAAAAAACAATGCTTCAACAATGTTTGGAACAAACTCTGCTTGGATTTTTTTCTTCAAAATCCAAAATAAACTAGCCTTTGAAAATAAATTAGCTTGATTTTTAAAAAATATCTGAAATGTTTCCACATTATCTTGTTTTGCTGGAAGATATAAATAAATGTATCATGGGATCATGAGGTAAAAATAAAGTTTAATTGGACACACTAAATAAGTCACACACATACAAGAACCCAACTAATTCATCTTGTCTACCAAAAAAGCCTCTACTTTTTATAATGATCTCTAATGCTTTCTTTCAGGCACTTTCCTGCCAGGTCTCAAAGCTCTTATAATTACCTTTTGCATGTATAATAAGCATTCAGACTATCTAAGATTTTTTTTTTTTTAAGACAGGGTTTCACCATGTTGGTCAGGCTGGTCTTGAACTCCCGACCTCAGGTGATCCACCCACCCTGGATTCCAAAGTGCTTGGATTACAGGCGTGAGCCACTATGCCCGGCCTAAACATCCTTTATAAAAGCAAAAAGCAGCTGGGCGAGGTGGCTCACATCTGTAATCTCAACACTTTGGGAGGCCAAGGCGGTGGATCACCCGAGGTCAAGAGTTTGAGACCAGCCTGGCCAACATGCTGAAACCCCATCTGCTAAATACAAAAAAATTAGCTGGAGGTGGTGGCAAGCACCTTTGGTCCCAGCTACTCAGGAGGCTGAGGCAGGAAAATCACTTGAACCCAGGAGGCGAAGGTGGCAATGAGCCAAGATCATGCCATTACACTCCAGTCTGATGGTGCCATTACACTCCAGTCTGGGTGACAGAGCAAGACTGTCAAAAAAAAAAAAAAAAAAAAAAAAAAGGCAAGCAAAAAGCAGAAACCCCAGTTATTACCATGATTCTTTCCTTAAGCTATGATTATAAGACTACTGGCCTGCTATAATTGCCTGCTTTATTGTCTATAAACTGTACACAGGTAGTGATGTGGTCTAACTTGTTATCCTTTATATTACTATCACCTAGCACCAGTGTCTGACATATAACAAGGATTCAATAAATAAATGGATTTTTCAATTGAAATAACTGATATGGCTGGGTACGGTGGCTCATGCCTGTAATCCCAGCACTTTGGGAGACAGGTGGTGGGTTCACGAGGTCAGGAGTTTGAGACCAGTCTGACCAACATGGTGAAACCCTGTCTCTACTGAAAATACAAAAATTAGCCGGGCATGGTGGCACGCACCTGTAATCCCAGCTACTCAGGAGGCTGAAGCAGGAGAACTGCTTGAACCCAGGAGACGGAGGTTGCTTGCTGTGAGTCAAAATTGCACCACTGCACTCCAGCCTGGGCAACAGAGCAAGACTCTGTCTCAACAAAAATAAAATAAAAAATTAAAAAAAAAAAAAAGGAGAGAAAAAAGAAATAACTGATATTTGAGAACTTCCTCTTAAGAACAAGAATATTTACCTCAAAATCATCTTTAAGATTACAGTTGAGCAGAGGCGCTCTAGAACATATGTTGTAGGCTACAACAGTCATCAAAAGGAAGGAAGGATGGTTGGAAAAGATATTGTCAAACAATTTCAGCCACTCTTCTCTTGTCAGCACTTCCGAGAACACAGTTTCAAGAAGAGGCCATGCATATAGCTACAACAGATGAGGAAAAATTTATTAGTTTTCTAAGGAAAAGTAAAAACAGAGTCATTGGTAATATTCCCTTACGTTTTACTTAAGCTATAAAAATCGTATTAAATACATAATTATAAAATAACCACCTTAATTTGGGCCCTTTTTTACAGACTTTCAGGAAGGCAGTTTAATGAAGAAAATAATGAAATACCGTTAAAAATACAAAATGTAGTATGCTTTTTATTATACTCCTTCAAAAAAATACTGTTTACACCAGGACCAATGTTAGCTTACAAAATAAGGCATGTTATTCTAAAAACCTTCTGCTTCTTACCTGGGAGGTTATATCATGATCTATGAAGTGCTGCAGCAGTTCCTTGTCATGAAATGCCAAAACATTTTCTATCATACTAAGAATATTGATAGGAGGGTTAGGAAAATACTCAAACCAGTGTTGACACCAATTCACTGTGAAGGAAAAAAAAGAAAACTTATCTTTTTTTTTGTTTGATTTTTTTTTTTTGAGACGGAGTTTTGCTCTTGTTACCCAGGCTGGAGTGCAATGGCGCGATCTCGGCTCACCGCAACCTCCGCCTCCTGGGTTCAGGCAATTCTCCTGCCTCAGCCTCCTGAGTAGCTGGGATTACAGGCACGCGCCACCATGCCCAGCTGATTTTTTGTATTTTTAGTAGAGACGGGGTTTCACCATGTTGACCAGGATGGTCTCGATCTCTTGACCTCGTGATCCACCCGCCTCGGCCTCCCAAAGTGCTGGGATTACAGGCTTGAGCCACCGCGCCCGGCCAGAAAACTTATCTTTAAATATCTTTGTGTGTTATCAAAAAACTTCACAATTCTTAAATGTATCCAATTTTTATGTTCTCAATATGTCCATGAATAATAGAAAATATAACTCTTTATATTGTATGACGATCGATTTAAAAATTCTATCATGTTAACATAGTATCTTATGTTTACAGAAATTTTGCAAATTTCCTTAGTTAATGAAAAAGTGTTAATTAAAACAAACACACACAAATTCCTAAAGTACTCCTGATCCTAGTTATAGGGCATTCTGGTTCCTGACTCCTGTTTTGTTTATCATGTGTTTAACAAAATGATCTTTTTAAAAGGGTCCCTATTTAGGCCTTCATTAAAATGTCATCAACGTTAGCATGCCAATCTCCTCAAATCTACTAAAATTCATATGTAATCAAAATTAGAAAGGCTTAAGTAAAATGTTCAAAATTACATTAGCAACATATAAAAACAAATGTGTATATACTGTATCCCTAATCCATTAAATGTTATAATGACAATAAAAGTGTCCTCATTCTTGGCTGGGTGAGGTGGCTCACGCCTGTAATCCCATCACCTTGGGAGGCAAAGGCGGGCGATCACGAGGTCAGGAGTTTGAGACTTGCTGGGCCAACATAGTGAGACTCCATCTCTACTAAAAAATACAAAAATTAGCCAGGCGTGGTGGTGGGCACCTGTAATCCCAGCTACTTGGCTGAGGCAGGAGAATCGCTTGAAACTGGAAGGTGGAGGTCGCAGTGAGCTGAGATCACACCACTGCATACAGCCTGGGCAAAAGACCAAAAAACTCCCATCCAAAAAAAAAAAAAAAAAAAAAAGAAAGAAAAAGAAAAAAGAAAAAAATGCCCTCATTCCGAGGAAAAGACCAACTGTGCTATAACCATAGTAACAAGGAATAACCAGTAAAGAGTCACCAGGACTGGTTTTAAATCTAATTGATCATTGACAATTTGTTTCAGCAAACTTGACTTGAAAACCAACCAATCAGTAACAGTGGCATTCTTTGAAAGTCAGGTAGTCCAAAGTAGAATATATTCAACTGACTAGGTTTCTAAGGCTAACTTTAACTCACATGAGCTCTGTAATCAGTAGAGCGACCCACAAATTGTCCTCAAAACTGCATGTAAGACCATAGGTTTGTTTGTTTAGTAGGACTATGTTTAACCTCTCCTTTAACTGGACTATGTTTCTTATTTAATTTAAAAAATTTTTAAATTTAAGCTGTAGATTCATCCTTTGATAATAACATCTCCTATCTCAAAATAGCAAAAGAAGCCTTTATCAGCAGACTATTAGATTACAATGGTTTAGAAGAATTTTCCGATTCTGGAGTTCCATTATTTCACTTATTATTGATCATTTAAATTTGAGTTAATAATTAAGTCATAAATAAAATCTTGCAAAGACTGAGCATCAAAAAACATTTCAAATTATCTGTAGCTCTTAATTTTTTTTTTTTTTTTGAGATGGAGTGTCACTCTGTGGCTCAGGCTGGAGAGCAGTGGCACAATCTCAGCTAACTGCAACCTCCGCCACCTGGGTCCAAGAGATTCTCTTGTCTCAGGCTCCCGAGTAGCTGGGATTACAGGCACCCACCACCACGCCCAGCTCATTCTTTTTGTGTGTGGTTTTAGTAGAGACAGGGTTTCACTATGTTGGCCAGTCTGGTCTCGAACCCTTGACCTCAGGTGATCTGCCTGTCTTGGCCTCCCAAAGTGCTGGAATTATAGGTGTGAGCCACCGTACCTGGCCTACCTCTGAATTTTAAGAGGAAAATATGGTTCAGCAATTGAGTACCTATTATGTCTTAGACACTGCTAGTTCTGAGAATTTAAAACACCACACACACACCCAAAGCTCTGATCCTTACAATCCTCATTAAGAGAGCACTGTTTTTCATTAGCAAGAGGATACTCTACTGCATACAGTAACCATCTGTCTGCTCCTAAGTATTTTTATTCTGCTTTGATGCCACCACAAAAGCATGGGTACAGGACAGAGTGTGAGAACTGACAGACAGCAAAATACAGAGAAATAATAATTATGTGGCAATTCTTTGCTAAACCCAATGACTGGGTTTGAAAGAGACTCTAGTGTCTAAAAAAGACTTTTTACAAATATATTCCAAATTATCCATAAAAGTGACTTTTCTCTCAAAATGTCTTCTAAGTCCCAACTAGGCTATAAACCTAAAAGCCAAAATGATGGTGTATCCAAGCAACGCTAGTACTTAGCTGAAATTCAGTAAATTTTTAAAAATTGTGCTTACTTGGAAGCATTCAGAATGTCAACAAAACTGTTGCAATTTTTTTTTTTTTTTTTTGCAATTACAGAGTGATATTTAGTTAACAAAACAATTATTTTGTATAAGCCACTTCAGAGAAAACTGAAGATGGAAAACTACTACCCTCATACAGAATAACTCATTTGTGCTCTGCATTAACAAAAACCTGCTTGTAAATTTCCATGTCAATTGATAATTCCTGTAGTCTACAAGGCAAAGTTAGTCCTATTGAAAATACCACCAGGACAAGGCTATCTAAAGACATTTGGTAGTATGTTAACTGTACAAAAAAGACACTTTACTGTTGAAACAAAAGTTACACAGCCTTACATTTCAATTTCTTTTTTCTTTAAAAGTGAGTTGTGTACAGGAGTGTTAAATGCTTTACAGACAAGAAAAACAACCTGTGCTAGAAGCAACATATTCATCGTCTCCATCGTCTTCCTCGCCGTCTTCCTTTTTCTTGCTTTTTTCAGCTCTGAGGGTGCCCATTTCTGCTGCATCAGGCTTTCCTTTGGCTTGGTATGTAGTAATATCCTTTCGCACTTTTCCTTCGGCTTCGCAGCCTTCTTGTCAAAAGGCTGTTTGTCATCTGCATTGGTGTCACCCACATCTCTCCCAGCTTCTTTGCAGCATCACTGATGGATAGGCTGGATGTTTTCCTTTGATTTCAAGGCAATATTCAGAACAGAACAAGAAAAACGCTAAAGGGGGCCTCTTGTGAGGGGCATTGGGATCCTTGAACTTCTTTGTTTCCCCTTTAGGAGGGATGTAGGTTTATGTTTCTCTTTCATGATGAGACCTGTCTGCCTTTGCCACTTCTTCAACTTCTCCCTTCTCTTTAGCAGACCATTTATTTCTCTGAAGCCCTTCTTAGAAAACTCTGAGAAAGTGACCGAAGTACCTGGGTGCTTCTCCTGGCAAATGTGCACAAAGAACGCATGTGATGACATTCTGCCTCTCAGCTTGGCATTGCCTTGCCAGTGTGTAGTTCTCTTTCCTCAGCGAGGCAGAGTCACCTGGCATCCATCTGGCTCGCACCTGCACCAGCGGAGCTCCAGGTACCGCAATGCCGTGAAAGCAGGAATCAGAAGCAGCCTCCTTACTCGCTCCCCTCTGAAACATTACTCTTTAATAAAGGTTTACTGAGTAAAACTAATTTGAGACGCTTGATAAAAATCCACAACTCATGCTGACCATCCCAGAGGAAACAATAATCTCCCAAATTTAGATTTCAGGCATGTTTGTTTAGAAGCGAAAAATCAATTTCCTTAGTACAAAACATTTTGGCTATGTAACAAGATTTTACCAGAAATAAAGAACTGTTTTGCATGACTACCTAAATTAACTATAATTTGTTTCTTTCTATATTAATTATAGTAAAACAGATGCTATTTGCCACTTTAACCATTTCTTTTTATTGAGATGGAGTTTCGCTCTTGTCACCCAAGCTGGAGTGCAATGGCACGATCTTAGCTCACTGCAACCTCCTCCTTCTGGGTTCAAGTGATTCTCCTGCCTCAGCCTCCTGAGTAGCTGGGATTACAGGCGCCTGTCACCACATTTGGCTAGTTTTTGTATTTTTAGTCGAGACGGGGTTTCACCATGTTGGCCAGGTTGGTCTCAAACTCCTGACCTCAAGTGATCCACCCGCCTCAGCCTCCCAAAGTGCTGGGATTACAGGCAGGAGCCACTGTGCCTGGCCACTTTAACCATTTTTAAGTGTACAATTCAGAGACATCAATCTCATTCAGTGTTATATAATTATTACCACTATCTATTCCCCAAACCCTTTCAATACTCCAAATAGAAACTCTGTATCCACTCAGGCCTAGCTCTCTGTCCCACTTTCCCTAGCCCCTGTAATCTCTAATTTATTTTCTGTGTCTATGAATTTGCCTATTCCAGATATTTCCTAAGTGAAACCATACAATATCTGTCCTTTTGTGTCTAGCTTATTTCACTAAGCATGATGTTCTCAAGGTTCACTCATGTTGCAGCTAGCATGTGTCAGGACTTCATTTCTTTTGACAGCTGGATAATATTCCATTATTTTCCATGTAAGTGTGGTATATGCGTGTGCACACCATGCTTTGTTTAACCATTAATCTGTTAATAGATTGTTTCCATCTTTTGGCTATTGGGAATAATGATGCCATGAACATTCACAAACGAGTATCTGCCTGACTCTCAGTTTAAAGTTCTTTTGTGTATATACCCAGGAATGAAATTGTTGGGTTATATGGTTATTCTATGTTTGAATTTTTGAAGAAATGGCAAATTGTTTTTCACAGTGCCAAACTGTTTTCCACGGTGACGGCACTATTTTACGTTTCTACCAGCAATAAATGAAAGTTCCAATTTTCCCACATCCTCAATAATATGTGTATAACATTTTTAAATTATAGCTACCCTAGCAGGTATGAAGTGGCATCTCACTGTGGTTTTGGTTTGCATTTCCCTAATGACTGATGATGCTGAGCATCTTTTCATACTCTTGATAGTCATTTATATACTGCCTATGGAGAAATGTCTATTCAAATCCTTTACTCATTTTTTAATTGGCTTATCTTTTTGTTATTGTGTTTCTTTTGCTTTTAAAACATGTAGTGCTATTGGCAGGTAAACTACTACCTGTGTTAGTTTGCTTTTCTATTGCTATAAAGAAATACCTGAGCCAGGTAATTTATAAGGAAAGGGTTTAATTGACTCATGGCTCTGCAGGCTGTGCAAGCAGAGCTCTAGCACCTGCTTCAGGAAGTGAAGGGAGCAGGAGCGAGAGATGAGGCGAGGACCCCAGGAAGATGGCAGGAACGAGAGCACAAGGCAGGCGGTGCCACATTCTTTCAAACAACTAGATCTTGTGTGAATTTACTGAGCGAGAACTTGTTTACAATCAAGGAGGTGGTGCTAAGCCATTAATGAATGATTTGTCCTCATAATCCAACACCTCCCACTGGACCCCACCTACAACATCAGGGATTGCATTTCAACATGAGATTCGGAGGGACACACATCCAAATCATATGACAACCCTTTTGTAATAATAACCCAATTATTCATATTTTATAACCTGATAAAGCCAATTCCAGGAATCTACCCAAAGGAAATTATTATGTTTGTATGTGAAGATTGTTATAACATTGTTATTTGTTTTAATAGGTAAAACTGCTGGATGTGGGGGCGTCATGCCTGTAATCCCAGCACTTTGGGAGGCCGAGGTGGGCGGATCACTTGGGGTCAGGAGTCTGAGACCAGCCTGGCCAACATGATGAAACTCTGTCTCTACTAAAAATACAAAAATTAGCCAGGCATGGTGTGGCGGGTCCATATAATCCCAGCTACTCAGGAGGCAGAGGGAGGAGAATCACCCAGGAAGTAGAGGTTGCAGGGAGCCGAGATGGTGCCACTGCACTCCAGCCTAGGTGACAGAGTGGGAGACTCCCATAAAAAAAAAAAAAAAAAAAAAAAAAAAAAGAAAAAATTAGAAACAATCTAAATATCCAAGAACAGAAGATTAAACTAGTATATGCACATTATGTAATAACAGCCAATAAAAATGTTTCTGAAATATATAAAAATAAGGGAAATATATATATATATATATATATAAAACATGAAGTAAATAACATGAAGTAAATGTAGTATAACAACAAAAAACTGCTTTAAGAGTGTGGAAAAATTAGAAAAATAAAATTCTTGCAGTTGAAGAATACATAAATGATATATCTACAAGATGAAATACTATATTATGCAGACAATAAATTATATTTTTCTTTCTTTTTTTTTTTTTTTTTTGAGACAGAGTCTCCCTCTGTCTTGTCCAGGCTGGAGTGCAATGGAGCAATCTTGGCTTACTGTAGCCTCCGCCTCCTGGGTTCTGGGTTCAAGCGATTCTCCTGCCTCAGCCTTCTGAGTACCTGAGATTATAGGCACATGCCACCATGCCTGGCTAATTTTTGTATTTTTAGTAGAGATGGGGTTTCACCACGTTGGCCAGGCTGGTCTCGAACTCCTGACCTAGGTGACCTACCTTCCTCGGCCTCCCCAAGTGCTGGGATTACAGGTGTGAGCTACCGTGCCTGGCCTAAATGATGTTTTTCACAAATATCATTTGGGATATTCCCAAAAATAATGATTTGGGAATAAATGCCCTTAAAAGAAATCACTATTTTCAAAGATTATCTTTGGAGAAGAGAAATATTGGTAAATTTAATTTTCTTTTCTGTGTTTTCTTATATTTCTCAAAAATTCTCCAATGATTATCAAAAAAATTATCAAAACAAGTACAATGTTAACAGAAGTGTAAAGAAAAATACACTAAAATATACAACATCTATACGCTTGAAACTTTTTCTTATTTCTACTTTTCAGAATTTTAAGTTAAATTACATATCTCCTTTGTATTAAAACAACAAATTAGGTAACAAAGTACACATAACATTGATTTTTGTTAAACCAATCTATAATTTTGATCCAGTTTAACAGACCTGATTTTACTAATATGAAAATGACTCACTTTTCAGTGTAAATGATAATGATGGAGAATAAACACAACAGCTGCAAGTACAGATGATGAAGTCTGCCTGCCTGGGTTCAAACGCTTGCTCTGCCCCTAAACTAACCTTGGGTAATTCACACTCTCTGTGCCTCAAGCTCTTCATTTGTAAAAAGGGGATAAATAATGCCTACAGCATAGGATTATTTTAAGGATTAAATGAATTAATAAAGGTAAAACAGTAAGAATGCTGTCTGGTACACAGAAAATGCTCAATAAACATCAGTCACGTATGGTGAGGATGAGGACAGAGGCCAACACTTGAGTATTAAACCACAGGAGCTATGTGTAGTGCTTTACAATTATAACAGTTCTATGAAGAATAACCAGCAGGCTGGGTGAGGTGGCTCACACCTGTAATCCCAGCACTTTTGGAGGCTGAGGTGGGTGGATCACAAGGTCAAGAGATCGAAGCCATCCTGGCCAACATGGTGAAACCCCATCTCTACTAAAAACACGAAAATCAGCTGGGCGTGGTGGTGCACACCTGTAGTCCCAGCTACTGGGGAGGCTGAGGCAGGAGAATCGTTTGAACCCGGGAGGTGGAGGCTGCAGTGAGCCGAGATCGTGCCACTGCACTCCAGCCTGGTGACAGAGCAAAACTA